TTACAGAAAATAAAACCCTATCACAACACCACACGTGACATAAGACTCCCCTCTCAAAACTTCTTAAACAAAAACCGAATGGACCTTACGAATTCACTATTTTGATTATTCGGACTTTGTTTATTGGCCTAAGGCCCATCGGTATATGGCGTTAAAGATGCCCTAATGCTGCTATATTATTGGTCTAATTTTTTATCGTTTAAAATTTAATTTAAAAATAAATTTATATTTAAAATATTATTATTTTTATTTTAAAATTTTCTTGCAATCTCCCAACTAGTGGAGATGCTCTAATGGTTTTGAACTATTATATAAAATTTTATCATTATGTAAACGTTGGACATACATTTTTTTTTATCGATTAAGTAATCTACGTCCGTTTTCAAAATTTAAATTGCAAAATATGCGGAAAAATGTATTTTATTTTAAATATGTTTATGCAGTAATATAAATTAAAAATAACTAAGATTATACAAATATATTAGAGAGAGATTTGATTTATTGGAGAGAGATTTTATGAATTTTTTTGATGTAATAAATATTTTTTTCAGTTTTGCGAGTTGTTTGTGATTTCATTACAAAATTTGCTTTTAAGTTTTATAAGTTATACAAATGTAAAGGGTGTAATTCTGCAAATATTACCAAATAAAATGTTATAAACAAAAATAGATTTTAGTACAAAATTTACTTCAAAAAATATATATAGATGTGTATTATTATTTTTGATTATGGTATGCTTAATAATATTACAACCCACTAGTAGTATACTGATAATTGCAAATTCCGTAATTTTATCTGTATAATATGATCATTAGTGTAAATTTGATTTACTGTTATTATTTATATCAGTTACATATTTTTTTTTCGTAACATCTACGAAATTACGCTAATCAATTGTACGGATTAGTCCAAAATTTTCGAATTAAACATAGCCGGGCCCGTTAAAGGCCCAGTGATCCATGCGTTTTCTCGCGTCAGGTAAAAAAAAAAAAAAAAAAAAAAAAAGAAGAAGTTAGTTATTGCAGTCAAACTTTAAAACCTCTTTTGTGTTTTTAAATTTTCCAAATCTCATCAGTCACTCTAACCCCACAAGATAAAAATTCGAAAAACCAAGCGAGCGCGAGATTCAAAAATCAAAATCTCACAGTCACGCGACTCAAAGTAATCTGTATCACACGCGCCTCTCTTCTTGAACTTCGTCTCCCTCTCTGCACACAAACCAACCATCTCTTTGCTTTTGAATCTCTCTTCTCTCTTTTTTTGAGATTTTTCCTGGAAAAAGCAGAAATCGAAACTATTCATCTTCAATGGCGTCTCACCACTATCTTCATAACGCTTCATAGTATGGTTTCGCTACTCTCTCTTCACCTTCAATTTCACTTCCTCTGTGTTTTGTAGGGCTGTGTACTTCTCTGAGGATGACGAAATCGTTGTTTTAGAGTAGAAACATTTCTTCATCTTCTTCTTCATCTTCGTCTTCTTTCCAATTTTAGATTGCGCTGATCTTATTTTAGAGCAAATTAGGGAGAGATTTGATTTGGATTTGAATTTGAATTTGCTTCTTCGATTCACCAAATCCTTCAGTTACATGATATTTCTGGCTTCGAATCTAGTTGATTCTTTCAGGTATTGTGTTTGAGGAGGAAGATAATGAAGACAAAGATGCAAATCAAAGGAAGAGGAGGAAACATGGCGACGAATCCACAACAGGTGATATTTGAGCTGAAGAAGAAGGTTATAACTGCGTTAAACAAGCTAGCAGATAGAGATACGTATCAAAGAGGAGTTGATGAGCTTGAGAAAACTGTTGAGCATTTAGCACCTGATAAGATCTCTTGCTTTCTCTCTTGTATACTAGACACTGATTCTGAGCAAAAGACTGCTGTTAGGAAAGAGTGTATCAGGTTGATGGCTACTTTAGCTAAGTTTCATGAGGGGCTTGTTGGGCCATATCTTGGTAAGATGGTTTCGAGTATCGTTAAGCGGCTTAAGGATCCAGATTCTGTTGTGAGAGATGTGTGTATTGAGACTATGGGTGTTTTAGCTTCCAAGATGAGTTGTTATGAAGATGAGAAGTATGGGGTGTTTGTTTCTTTGGTCAAACCGTTTTTCGAAGCTATTGGTGATCAGAATAAGTATGTTCAGTCAGGTGCGGCTTTATGCTTGGCTAGAGTCATTGATAGTAGTCCTGAAGCTCCGGTTGCAATTATACAACGAATGTTAACGCGGACAGTAAAGCTGCTGAATAACTCGCATTTCATCGCTAAACCAGCAGTTATTGAGCTTAACAGAAGTATCATCTTGGTATGATATTTATAAAACCATATTTTTCTTTTTTTATTTATGAGTTTGAGGCTTTGCTGCTACTATTCTCATGTTATTCTTAGATGTGGTTGTATAATTAAAATATGGGTGATTGATTCTATTCTAGGCTGGTGGGGCTACGGCGAAGAGTGTGATGTCCTCGGCAATGACTAGCTTTCAAGATGCCCTGAAAAATAAGGACTGGACAACTCGTAAGGCTGCTTCTGTAGCACTTATGGAAATAGCTGCTACTGGTGAAAAGTTTCTTGGACCTCTCAAGGCTTCCTGCATCTGCTCTCTTGAATCATGTCGCTTTGATAAAGTTCGTGCTCTTTTTCTAAAAATTTACTCTCTTACAGAAGAAATATTTGGAATGAGACATCTAACTTCTTGTTTTTCTATTTTAGGTGAAACCAGTGAGGGACTCAGTTATCCTTGCCTTACAATATTGGAAAGGTGTCCCTGGGTCTGATAGTCCAGAGCCATCTGAAACTGGATCCTCTGTAAAAGGTGAGTTAAGAAAATGGTTTGGTCTTCAAATCTTTGCAACTTTAATTTTCACAGACTCATATCTCTTCTTTTTGTTTATATGTTTGTAATTGCAGAAAGCTATAATGGAACTCGAGAGAGTAGTGAACTTTTCAGCACCACTGACTCGAAATTGAAGGATGCTTCGTCTAACAAATATGTAACTGATTTGGCAAGGAAAAAGGTTCCTGTCTCTACCAGGAAAGTACCTGCACGTTACAAAGACGACCCTCGAAAGACTAAACAAGATGATTGGCAAATTGAAATCGCAGTCCCAGAATCTCCTGTTTCCAAGGTTGATATTCTCAATGAAGAATCAGAGGGCAGTTGCATCACCAAGACGTTTGCAGAAACCACAAACACACCACAAGTGACATATGAGTACATTCCAATAGAGGTTAAGGCAGATTGCTATTTAACAGACGCTGTCAATGAAAATGATGATATCAAGTCCATTACAGTATCGTCAAGCAGTTTCCGGGCAAGTGGTATGGTAAATCCAGCAATCACAAGTAAGCATTTCGCAGCTGAAGAGGCTTATTCTGAGGACCATCCATTCTCAACTAAACTGAAGGATCGTACAAGCCTTGACTCTACTGTAACAGTGTCAAGCTCTCAAACCAATCATGACTCCTATGCTCAGATTGCAAATGAAATGGCTTCTGTACGTAAACAACTCTCAGATATTGAGAATAAACAGTCACGTTTGATAGATCAGCTACAGGTCAGTGGAATTCCTATTACAATCAAATATCTTTGACCAGTTGACGAATTTATCGATGCTCCATTCAACCTTTGTATATTCAGGATGCGTGTTCTCAATAACTCAGCATGATTTTTGAACTGTCTTAAACTATCCTATGCTTAGGAATGGATGGTTAACATGAAGTCAAACTAAGATATATTTTTCTTCTTGTGTTAAACTTCTAGGCGTTTTCAACAGGAATAATGAACAACTTTTCAATTCTTCAATCCAAAGTGTCAAGCTTAGAATATGCAGTGGAGGGGATAGCTCAGAACATTGTCTTGCATGCAGATATATCAAACTCCAATTTTGTGAAGAACAACCAAGGTAGTACCCAGTCACCAAGGCTCTCTAGTTGCACTTCAAGAACTTCTACGGATATCCGCAATCGGCAATCTACATTATCATCTTCTAAATACTCGATGACAAAGGAGAACAAGACACATGGAAGAAGCAGACTAAATGAATCGCAGGGCATGGAGAAGACGCGGAGTAATCCTTTAGGTAAGACTGGTCAACAACATACTAGAGAGGACATTTGGAACAACATTGGACAGGGAAGGCAAACATTGATCCAGACCCGGACATCTTCTGATTCAATTCAAAGCATAAGACAACATTACACAGAGGTGATGAGTGGATCAAGGAAACCTGTGACAGATGTGGTTGAATCAGAGTACCTAGAAGTGCTTTCTTCTGGTGATGAGCTAGCGCTTATCGAGCTTCTTGACAGAACTGGCCCTGTGCTGGAGAGTATGTCATCGCAGACCATAAATGAAATTCTCAGTATACTCCTGTCATACCTCCTCGAACGAAGATTTATGAACTCAATACTTCCTTGGTTACATCAGGTTAGTTTGTTGAAACCATGCTTGAATTGCCATCACTACTACTACTGGAATAATGTTGCTGAGTAAAAACTCCACTCTATTCTCTTCAACTAGGTCGTTGACTTGAGCACTACAAATGGAGCTAATTATCTTATTCCATCTGCGAGAAAGAGAGCTCAAGTGTTGTCTGCAATTCAGGAGGCTTCAGGCATGGACTTTTCAAATCTTGCTGAGAGAAGAGCAGTTACTCAAATAGCAATGAAGTTGCGTAAACTATGGGGTAAGCTAAGATCTCTCCTTTGCGTTTATAAACAATGTACCTTTAACTGTTTAACACTATTAAATCTTCATACTATAAGGTGTGGCCATGTTGCTTCAAATTAAAGTTATCTTACTCTTTTGCAGGGAAATGTTCGTGATCATTACGCGTGCTGAAGTAGACAACAAGACAATGTTTAGCTGATGTTTTTTCTAAGTAGTTGAATTAAAATTGTCAGTGTGGATTTTGTGAAAACTTTTAGTTAATCACGTTTGTTTCAAAAGTTTCAGGTACTTGCTCTCTTTTCACCCACACAGTCAACAAAAAAAGAGTGTTTCCAAAAATTCATTTGAATTTCAGAGAAATATCATCAAATTGCATATTGCACTAATATTTGTAATCCCCAAAAAAAAAAGTTCCCAAAAACGAAGACTCAACTTATTTATACATTAAGCCAACTCTGCTACTTTCTTATCTTACAGTCTCAAATCACTGGGTGAATCTTTCTGTCTTGAGTCTTAAATTTTGGTATTATCCAGTTCTGAAAGAGCAGAAACATATTTGTCAGTGTCGACTGCGGCTTCGCTCTTGCTTCGACCACTTTCTGGTCTTCTCCTCCTATGTCCATCCCCATCTCTTGTGCCTTGAGAATCACCAGAAGCATCATATAAGGTTACAGATTTGCCCCTGCTATGGAGGTTAGTCATGACTTCCTCTTGAGCATCACCGTCATCTTTGAGAGTCTCGAGAACTTCTACAACATGATTCATGAGGGGCCTTCCTTTCGGGTTTTGGCTTAGGCATTCGTACGCTAAACCAGCTACTTTCATCAATGCCTTAGTACCGTACTGTCCATCCATTCGAGGGTCTATGATCCTCAAAAGCTTTTTGTTGTGATTCAACAGAGGTCGTGCCCACTCTACCAAGTTATGCTCCCTGCAAGGTCTGCTTTTGTCCATCGCCCTCTTCCCAAGGAGCATCTCAAGGAGAAGTACCCCAAATCCATAAACATCACTTCTCGATGTCAAATGTCCTATTACAACAACCACACATATGAGCCATTTAGTTACAAAGCATTTACATAATGTGATCATATCAGCAGCATGCATACATTTCAAAAGGGTATTTTTTAGCACTGGTAGAAGAACCAGCTATGAATTTCATAGGTACTTGACAATTGACCATGCTGACATCAATGTTATCTTTAACAATTTTAAATGCATGACAGATGCTTATGGAAAATAGTAAAGACAGACCTGTCATTACGTACTCAGGAGCAGCGTATCCATAAGTCCCCATAACACGTGTTGACACATGTGTTTGATCTCCTCTTGGACCATCCTTAGCTAGTCCAAAGTCAGAGAGTTTAGCATTGTAACCCTGCGCAGGCATTACAACTTTCAGGGTGAGACAAATTAAAAACGTAGAAAACAAGGTTACTTCATTGAAAACTCTATGCCTTTGTAAAATTGAAGAAAGGACACAGTAGCTGACCTCATCTAGCAGTATATTTGCTGTCTTCAGATCCCGATATATGATGGAGCGTTCAGCACCATGTAGAAATGCAAGACCCTTGGCTGCGTCTAGCGCAATCTTCATTCTTTTCGACCATGTCAAAGTGCATCCAACTCCTGCCAGTGAATTCCAAAAGAAGACACATATCGTCACTAACAGTCATTTAATTTCTAATATACTTTTGTAAGAAACATTAACATCTCATCTAATAACCTAGAATCATTTCTTTTCGCATCATATTTTACCAGTTACTAACTCCCACCTCATCTGAAACTACACCTTCCTAAGTGGTTTTTACCTTCAACTATTGGGTACATACAGTCTACTGACTGTTCTTTAGAGCACTAGAAGGTGCTTGGTTTGAAAAGCATATTTCAAGAATGGATTTAGTCAGTATTGAAAGATATTGTTTATATGATCCTTTATTCTTTCTTCAAAACTTTTAACTTATAAAACTTGAATAACTTATACTCATATACATCTTCGACAAGTATATGCAATGCAAGAATGGCATTAAATATGAAACTGTATGTCAATAGGAAAGTCATTTTGCGGTTATATAAAGCAACTATGTAAAGAGGGAAATAGATGCAGACTAATTTTCAATCTTTCATGCATTCGATTATACGAAAACTTACTTCGGAAAAGATGTTTCTCAAGGCTCCCCAATGCCATGTATTCATAGACTAACAATCTATGATCATCTTCACAGCAGTAGCCAATGAGCTTAACCAAATTCGGGTGACTAAGCTGTCCTAAATAGTTAACTTCAGCCTACAAGAAAGTGAAACACATTCCCAAGTAAGCATCTCTAATTTTATAGCCAGTCACTACTTATAAGTTTGTGAAAAGACAAAACCAAATTTACCAGCCACTCTCTATCTCCCTGAAAGCCCTCAGGATTAAGTTCTTTGATAGCAACTTTTGTAGACTTGTAACCACTCCTCACAGACTCATCTATAACTCCTTTATAGACCACTCCAAAACCTCCTTCACCAAGAATATAATCTGGCCTGAACTGCTTAGTAGCAACCTTCATCTCCTCGTAAGTGAAAATATCAACATTCTCATATCCTGGATTTGACTGAAGATCTTTAATGTTCTTAGGAGCTAAAGACAAGCCACCACTCACTTTACCAACTGATGAATCTTGACAATCTGACTTCATTAGATACACAGCTGAATTTTTCCCTGCTGTTCCATCAAAACACAGAAAAAAAAAGATTCAATTTTTCAGCCAATTACATCCAAATTTAACAACTTTTTCCCCTATAAATTTTTCAATACAACATCACACCATGATCCCAAAATTACCCAGAAACCTAAAGAAAAGTTCTTCAATTTCATCCAAATTCAGTAACTTTCTTTGATTATCAAAAAACCCAAATTGGTATATTCCAATATAACATCACCAGAATCAGAATCAGAACAATTTTACCCAAAAAAAAAAAAAAAAAACAGAACCGGAACCTTAAAAAAAAACAGAACCTGGTACTGTTGTCTTCTTCTGATAGTTTTGTTGTTGAGAGAATTGGTACTGCTCTTCAGCACTAAAGCAAATCCCCATCCGAATCTTACAATAATTTCGTAAAAAAAGATAAACACTTTCTCTCGTGGGCAAAAGCGTTATGTACTATTCTTCAATTTGCCATTATCATCTCATTGTCTGTAAAAACCAAAGACAGATCCGATCTCTAATGGGGCTCCGAGAAGAGAGATGGGTTTCTCGGAGGAGGAGGTCGGAGAGAGAGAAGGATGAAGAAATAAACAAATAAAATAGGAGGAAGAAGAAAACTGTAGAGAGAGAGAGAGAGGAATGAATGATCCATTGGAATCGATGGATTTGAGACTAGCCGCCAAAAACGCAACGCCAAGTGACCATGACAACTTTTTTTTTTCCTTCTAAAAAATTATTATTATTTGTATACGTTACTTTATTTTTTGTATTTATGTAAAGACTTTTTTTTTTTGGCTCGTCTTAAGATTTAATCTTGAGTTTTAGACAGAAATGTTAAAAATTTGTTTAAGGAATTTCAATGAAATCTGATTTTTATTTAGATTAAATAATAAATACCCTAGATTTTTCCATAAAACTACACATACTCCTTACCAAATTTTATTTTTAAAATATATTGTTATTATAAGGTTTCCAAATCTATGTAGATAGGAGGTATTGGTCAATGGTCAATATTTTGAATGTTGGTAATGCATTAATTAGTAACGTTGAACAAAAAAAACTCTTTATTTTCTTGGTCGGAGAATTTACGAACAAAGCAAAATTGGTTTTTTGGCCTTGTTATTTCTAGATTTTAGGATTTGGTTTTTGGGTACTCAGATTAGATTCAAGTTTTAGTATAGAAGAATTTAGAACCAAATAAGGTAAACACAATATCGGTTTCAGAACCTTTAAATACCAGAAAATATTATCATTTGGTTTATGTATTTTGTATCCGATTATCCATAATTATACCCCAATTACTTGTTATACTCGATATATATATCTGATTGCACGAAATTGTTTTGTAAATATTTAATTTAAAAATATGTATATTTAGATTTTATGAAATAATGGTTAACTTTTGTAAAAAATAATTAAAAAGTATTAGATAATTTTGTTATTTTTGAGTCTTTTGGTTATTTTGATAAAGAAGAAACTAATATTTTCGAATCTATAATTGTAGTTTTGAATAATTCTGATATAAGAAAAACAAAATAATTAATATTTTAGGTATTTTATTTTACTATAGACTAAAATCGGACCCGCGTTACAGCGCGGGGGAAAAGTTTCAACTTGATTTTCTATTAACGAAAACATTTTCCTAATAAGAGATTTTTCCGGTTGTGTTGATAATTTTTATGATAAATAAACATTATTGATCAAATAGTTGCAAATTTGCAATTGGCAGTAGGGGGGGGGGGTAATTATTCTGTTTCGTTAATCTATATAGTTTATACTAATATATTTCTTAATAAAAAAGTTTTCACTAAAAGTGAATAATTTTTCCATATAATTTGAAATCATATTTATGTAATTGTAAGATTTGGTATTACAAAGTATTTGGTTGTAAAACTTAAGTGGTATGTATCATGTTCTCACCCGTTGCAAAATTATCAATTATTTTAATATATGTTCTGACCTGTTGCAAAGTTATCAATTATTATTTATAATATTCGAACCTTTTAAAATTTAAATATTTATAATATATAAATCTTAAAGTTTAAATTATTACAAATATTGAAATTTTAAAAGATAAAAATTTAAAATATTTTGAAAATTTTCAAAAAAT